CCTATTTATAACTGACTTACTAAGTCCCCCGAGCCTCCAAGTAAACCCTAAACCATGAAACGCAAAGGCCTGGAGCTTCAGAACGCCAAAATCCCAGCCCCTGCACCAGAACAGAACCTGAGATGGTTTCAGGTCCTGATCGCTGCCAGAGCAAGCCTCGAGGCATGGGTTTGCAGCATGGGTTTCGGGGTTTAGGGGTTTAGGGGTTTAGGGGTTGAGGGGTTTAGGGATTTGAGGTTTACGGTTCAGGGATCGAAGTTTAGGGTCTTAATCGGGGTTTTACAGTGTTATCACGACCGACACATTAAATCTTTGAAAACCCTAGACTTCCAGCCCCAAGCCGCGTAAATGGACCAAGCAAATCCTACCTACAACCTAAATCCCAAGGCATAAAAAAAACCTACGGCATTGAACTCTACAGCCCTAAAGCGCACACACAAACACACACCTGCAGATACCCAGGCCTGAAACCCTGAACCCCAACAAGCCCTGAATAAGCCTTGGATTTCACTGGCTAGAGTCTGAGTTTTCCAGGCCGGGATTGCGCCAGCACTGGTCACCGCATCTGGAAATGACAACACCGAGGGGTTGCGGATCCTCTTAGCTGCAGGCTGCAACTTGCAGGCCCCTTTAGGAGTTTAGGGTTTAGGGTTTAGGGTTTAGGGTTTCGGGTTTCGGGTTTAAGGTTAGGGGTCGTCGGGCAAGGTTAAGACCTGCAGCAGTTTTTGTTGTTGCTTGTGCTGCTACCACGGCTACGGCTGTTCTCTTGTCACGAGTCACAACTGCCAGTACTGTGTACCTCTTTTCTGCCCTCCTATCATCGTTATTCTTACTGATACTACTGCTACGACAACATCAAGAACAGCTGCTACCAGTAGCAGTAGTAGTAGTAGTAGTAGTAGTAGTAGTAGCAGCAGCAGTAGCAGCAGCAGCAGCAGCAGCAGCAGGAGTAGTAGTAGTAGTAGTAGTAGTAGTAGTAGTAGTGGTAGTGGTAGTGGTAGCAATA